CAAAGGTTTTGATACATCAAATAACTTTACACATAAGGAATAACTTTAACTCCTAACTTCTTTATCTCTCTCAAAAGCCAAGTTAACTTCCACTCATGTTCGGGTGTTGAGTTGTCAATCTGCTTCAATTCTCTTACAAAGCCAGTTAAATTAATCAACTTGTGAGCCACATTGCTTGCTTAGATCATAGCTTCTATCATGTCTTCATCTTTTTCCTCCGTCTTATGTGTCAATTCTCGAAGCTGTAAACAAAGTTATTTGTTTTCCTCGTAATAAAATCTTCGTTGTTATGAAATCCTTGGGTAATATTTCCAAAATCATTTATATTCCTCGTCAATGTCTTGTTCCTGGATCTAGTGGCTTCTAGCTAAGCATCAATATCATGCTTGTGGCTTTGATATGAAGCTTCCATGTTGGCTATAGACATATTCAACATCTGATTCTTGGCTTGACATCTTCCCAAATCATTAAAATTTGTATTGTGCCTCTTTTCTGCAATATGTAAATCATAAGAGAACTTCTTGGCTCGACTTTCATGAATCTTGCAATTCTTTCTCCAATGTTCAACGTTATTTTTCAGTTTAGAGACACATGTTGTCCACTCTTCTGGGGTATTTCCTATACCAACATTTTAAAGGTTTAACTGATCCTTTGAAAATCATCACGCGTGGCTTTTATCTCTATAGTCAGTTTATTGTTTTCATTCCTCAAATGACGAACTTGAGATTCATACTTTAGCAATTCTTCTTTCTCCTGGATGCCCCCACTGATATCCTTACCTTTGAACACATTTGGCTCCAACATAATAGGAGAATCAGTTACAAACTAGGTCGACCTTTCATCTCAAACTCTAAGATTCCATGATCCAAAAGATGTTGGAGTTAATGCTTGAAGGTAGTACAATTCTTAATGGGATGTCCTTGAGCTCCGGCATGATATTCACAATGAACATTGACATCATACCAATTTGGATACGGAGACTTCCAAGGTTTTACATAATGTGGGGTCACCTCCCGGGCTTCTAAAAGCTTATCATACAACTTCTTATATGACATAAGGATAGAATCAAAATGAGAGCCACATCTTATCTTGGATTGAACTGGAGTCTTCAGGTTTATTTTTCCTAACGTCGTAAGTAACTCTCAAACACACACGAGTTCTTATTGCATGGCTTCTTTTCATCTTTATGAACTTCTACAGTTGTCACAATTTCCTTGGGGTCTTTATACAACTTGTTGATAGGAATGGTGATTGTGAGTGGTTTCTCAGATTGGCTAGGATTAGCTTGTTCTAAAGTACTTCTTTGTGTACTTGACATCATAGGATCATTCTCATCGAGCTCTTTCCTTTCTTTTGCAGAAGTCTCTTTTCCTTTGGACAAAACAACTATTCTATCCATCATCTTGGACATTTGCTCTCTTATATCTCTTATCTCATTTTTCTCTTCGTCGGAACACGATCCTTAGGCGCATAACTCTCCATTGTTCTCAGAGTTTCCTCGGGATGCCATTCCCTAGCATTGTTATAGTTTACTCCATCATGAAAACCTTTGTCCATCATGAAAACCTTTTACTCTGATGATCACTCACAAATCAACACCTTGATATATCATGAACATGCGATGCAAGCAAAAAGAAAAGAAACATATAAACAAGTTAGTACAAATAAGATAAAAATGACAAGAATTATTATAAAAACAAATAGAAAATAAATAAATTAATAAGCTAATGCAAAATGACAATGCAAATGCAAATACACAAGGTATTAATTCCCAAAAGCAACCACCATATAACAACCTTCATTTAGACAAAAAGATTTCATGACACCAGATAGTCAAAATAAAATTAAGATTCTTCACTTTTTTATTTTCTAGAGCCGTACACTTTATGGAATCTAGCATCGCACCCAAAGTTGTTGGGGTACTTTATCACATTTGACAACGCCTGAGGTCCTTAAATTATTTGTTGTTAAATCGTGAGATCTCCATTTTGTGAAGTGGTCTGCATGCCTTTGTGAAGGGTTTTCTCGTCCTTGATCTGACTGCATCCACTTCTTAAGGAAACATCTGGCTTTGGTGCTTTCAAACAAAATCTTCAACCAGGTTCAAATTCCTTCATTGATCGGATTTCTTTCTTCATGGATCGTTTGAACACCCTTGGATCTCCTGGTTTTGACTACATGGCTAATAATTTCTTGTTTCACTATGAACAATCTCCTTACTTAGTCAATCATTTGTGAATCAACAACTTGTTAGTTATGATGTGTAAATGCAAACAAAAGACAGACAAAAATAAGATAAAACAAAACAAATTGTTAATACCACTTAACCAAAAAAGCAAAAAATATTCACGAAAAGAAAATATCCTACTCAACATGGTATCTATCCTAACATGCTTTTTATAACAATTTTACCGAGACATGTTTTCTACCCCCATGCTTTGTTCAACATATAAATCCTAACCTCATGCTATTTAGTTCGCATGCTTGTTTGAAAAAAAGAACCTAACCGCATGATCTCTAATACGCATATATTTATTTAGAAATTAAAATTACAATAAAAAACTTTAAAATGTTCAAAAAGGCTTTTCCTTGTGTTCTCTTCTTACAAAACTTCTAAGGTCTGGGTAAGGCTCTATCTAGATTATAGGTTCACTATATGCTAGGTTCAATTCTAAAGTAAGAGGTCCTCGAATTGTCATTGTTGGTATCCCATTGGGCCGTTAAACCCTCAATCCTGACCCATCACATGCTTTTGGATTGAGTTCAATTCGAGGGGACACACCTCTTTATGTCCATAAGGAGGTAAAAACCCTCATAGGACCATAAGGCATGATCCCTAGGAGCGATTCACTATCACGTACAGAGGTGAAAAACACACGAGGGAGTAGCTTCTCACTACTACTTAAATAGGACGGAGCGGGGTTTTAGCTCATATTATGCAAATGAAGCTGTGCAGTGTGTGAGAAAAAGCGAAAACAAAACAAACAACACTAAGTAGAAGCCTCAAAACTTGAATAATTATTTACTCTGAAAATATTAGCAAACAAATAATACAACTATTTAGTGATTAATCAAATTACAAGTGAAAAATTTATTCAAACCACACAAGGGATCAAAAATCAAATTAGAGCGAACTTGTAATTTTGATTTGCAAAGACAATTAATTAGTCGACTAGTGGTCTGAATCTCAAAAAGAAATTCTCTAGTGTAGTCACCAGGCTTTCAAAATGGTTTTCTGAAAGGGGAAAAAGGGGAGGTCTCGTTTCAAAATAATTTTTTATGACCGGTTAACATGGTTCGAGGAGTCGCCACCAATCTTTGATTAGGGTGTGATTGGGAACCCAAAAAGTATTTGTAATTTTGAAAAACATTTGTTTTAATAAAAATAAATTTTTGGTATTCGTTACCAAAATTTGAGTTCGGGAGTCGGTTACATGTAGGGAAGGATTAGTGTACCCCCACAGGGCCCTAAATTGATACCTAATCGATTAATTAGTTGTCTTTGCAATGAAATGTATGAGTTCGAGACTAATTTAATTTAAGATCCCTTAAATAATATTCTTTGAATTTTAACACGAAACATGATAATATTTAATTATTTCTTATCAAGAAGAATCGATCTCTCATACCTTAAAGCAATCGATTCTTACTCCAATCGAAATAAAGAAATATTTAAATTCCATTCTAAAGTTCATTATTAATTCAAATAAAAAAACCCAAAATAATTTTAAGAGAGAAAGTATTATAATATCTAATTATTTCTAATCGAGAATAAATAATCTTTCATGCCTTAACACATTCCTTTATTACCCCAATTGAAATGAAGATATATCACTATTTCGTCTTAAAATCTAATATCGATTCGAGTGAAAACGATAATATCTAATGATTTCCAATCAAGAATAAATGACCTCTCATACCTTAAAGCAGTCATTTATTGCTCCAATTGAAATGAAGAGATATCACTATTCCGTCTTAAAAATCAATATTGATTCAAAAGAAATTTGTAATATCAAATTATTTTCGATCGAGAATGAATGACCTCTCATGCCTTAAAGCAGTCATTTATAACTCCAACCGAAATGAAAAGTTATTACAATTCTCAATATCGATTCAAGTGTTGTTATTTTGAAAACTCATTGGAAAACACATGCAAAAATAAAGCATATTAAAATCATATATCAAACAAGCGTAATTAATTATTTATTTTACCCATATTTAATGAGAATAAAGATGTCCAATTATTTAAATACCTCGAGATGAGACCTTAGATTCGAACTAACAATCTATTCTCAGTGAATTTAATTAAAATAATATGATCTTTTTCCTAATCCCCGAGTTTTAAAATGGATTCAATTTAATTCGTGTCACTAAATGGGATATACTTTCATTTTAAAATTATCGAAAGTAACTTTCTTATACGTTAAGTCAATCACTTTATGATAATTTTAAAATGAACGAATATTACTCTTAGTCAACTTATTTCAATTGAGTCAAGAGATGCTTTTGAGAGTATCATGTGAAATTAATTAAGGACTAAAATGAACTAACATGCAAGCAACCTGCAAAAATTAAAATAAAATAAAATAAAATAAAATATTAACAATCAAATCATCATGTCAAAATATAAACACTATTTAGAAAAGGCGCACGATAAGAGTTTCTCTAGGTGCACGTTAACAGGGCTAAAGGAATTCGAGTTCTCCTTCGTGCCTCCGGTGCTCTTCCCTTCTCATTCGATGTTCTCCATTCATCCTATCAGTTCACGTATTCTCCTTGCCTTTATGAGTGAAAACCCTATGGATTGGAGAAAATTATTTGGGTGTTCAGTAGACCAAGATCTGGAATTTCAACCTCCTAGGGTTCGCGAAGGAATCACAACGGTTTAACCCCCTCAAGAGGTGCTAGAAGCTAGAATCAAATAGCGGAATCTTTCACTTGTGGGCCAATTCCTTGGTGCTGCTCTGAGCTTTTCTTCAATGCAAAGACTTTTAGACAGCATGTGGAGGAAAGCTTTGGCGGGTGCTCGAGTCCAGGTAAGCATTACTGGGAACAACTTATATGTTTTTTCATTCCCTTCTGAAAGTGCTCGGGACTGGGTCCTCGAAAATGGCCCCTGGCATATATTGAACAAGCCTCTAATTTTAAGGAAATGTGAATCGAATCTTCAAAAATTAATCTTTGATCTTTCTAGCTTGTCAATATGGGTCCATCTTTATAATGTCACTTTAGAGTTATACTCTCGTTTAGGCCTAAGCTACATAGCAAGTGTAATTGGTACTCCACTCTCTATGGATATTGTTACTGCAGCTAAAACACACCTTGAATATGCTAAGCTCTGTATTGTAATAGGAGCCAATGATGTTATTCCTAAATATGTAGAAGTGGAACTAAATGAGGGAAAAAAGGTCTCGATTATGATTGAAGTGCCTTCGATGCCAGCACTGTGTAACTACTGCAAAATCTTTAGCCATAATGACAAGGGCTGTATGCAGTCTAAAAACCCAGTAACTACCAAACCTCAAGTTTGGAGGAAAAAGGAAACTTTCTATAAAGTAACAGAGATTGAATCATCTATAGGATGTATAGAGTTACTGCAAGAGAAAAAAGACTTCCATTCGAAGGAAAATAATGAAATTAGTGCAGCTGTTGAAGAATATGATAATGAAAACAATGAACTAAAAGATGAACAACAAGATTATTGTGTCACTGTTGATAAAAAAACCAAGAGTAAATATTGATGATCAAGCAAAGGAAAACACAAAGCATAATGAGGTCCATCAAAATCTTTCTATTTTGGAGAAAACTAATAAAGACTCAAATGTGACACTCCTCAAGAACAAAGGTGAACCTTCTTCAACTATTCCTAAACGGGGATGAGGAAGACCTGCCTAAGCAAAAGTGGATATAACTGGTTCAACTAACATATTTCAAATTCTTAATGATACTGAAGAAATACCTTCTGCTCTAGTGGAAAATCAAAGGAAATCATGCGCATCTTCACAAGGTGTGGCTGCCATAGTCAAGGAACTCAAGTCGAAAAAGAAAGACATAGTAGATAAATCAAAGTGTGCTGAAGTTGGTGGTGGTGGGGGTAAAATGGATACTCCATCACAATGATCCTAGCTTTTTGGAATGTAAGAGGACTTAATTGTCCTCTAAAATAGGACAAAGTAATTAGAAGAGCCAATCAAAACAAAGTGGATGTTTTTTGTTTGCTGGAGACAAGAGTGAAAGTAGAAAAGTCTGTAGCAATTATTGGAAGCAAATTTACTGGCTGGAATGCACATACTAACTATGATTATGCCTTAAATGGTAGGATATGGATCCTTTGGAGAAAAAGTCTTAACTTCTCGGTAATCCAATCTTCTGATCACTGTTTGACAATTCAAGGGTTGTACCAAAATGCTCCTCTAGTCATCACTGCAGTCTATAGAAGCAATAATGGTATTGCTATAAGACTTTCTGGCAACAGTTACATGATTTGAAAGCTATTATAGGTCTTGCCCCTTGGATTATTGGTAGAGACTTCAACATAACTCTTCACTCATATGAAAGTTCTGAATGTGACCTCATTGGCCCATTATCTTCTTCTGAGATGAGATACTTTCAAGAAGTTCTCTTTGATCTTGATCTTATAGATCACCTTTTTTTGGCCATTCTTTCACCTGGAGCAATAAACAACAGGATTCCTATCTTGCTAGGAAACTTGATACAGTTTTAGTTAATTCTAAATGGGTGACCACTCACAAGGACTCTCATGTAGAATTCCAAGCCCCTGGTATCTCTGATCATTGCCTTGCTCAAGTATGGCTCAATAAAGAAGCTCAAGCAAATCGGCCAAAGCCTTTTAAATTCTTCAATTATTGAACCCAACAAACTAGTTTTATGGAGGTGGTAAAACAGTCTTGGCTTAGACCAGCTCATAGAAACCCAATGCAGATTCTTTTTACCGAGTTAAAGAGATTGAAAGTCAGCCTCAAGAATCTTAATCAGACATGGTATAGTGACCTTCCTGAAAGGGTTAAGTAAAAGAAATCTGATTTAGAGCAACAACAACTCAAAACTTTAAAAGGATATGATGTCATTGCTAAGGAGCTGCTCCTTCAAAATGAGTTAAAAAATCTGGAAGAAGCTGAAACGTTGTTCTTCAGAAAAAAAGAAAAAGTTCAATGGTTGAAAGAGGGTAATAAATGTACCAGATTTTTTCATTTTGTAGTTGCTCTTAAAAAATAAAAAAGACACCATTCGTATCCTTATAGATGAGAATGGTAATAGGTTGGAATCTTATGAGCAAATGTCTGCAGAGGTGATTAAATTCTTCACTAACTTGATTGGCACTGCTGATCCTGCAATTAAAGACACCAATCAAAATCTGTTGAAGGATTTAATCAAGTATTCCTTGCCTGCTGATAAGGCTAATGATCTTGTGAAGGATGTTACTAAGGAGGAAATTAAAAAGGCTTTCTTCAGTCAAGGAAATGAAAAATGTCCAGGACCTGATGGTTTCTCACCTTTATTTTTTTTTAAACATGGTATATTATTGAGAGGGATGTTATTGCTGCTATATCACAATTCTTTCAAGAGTCATTTCTCCTCCCTGCCTTCAATGCTACTATTATTGCATTCGTTCCAAAGATCCCTAACCCAAGTAAGGTAAAGGACTTTAGGCCACTTTCATGTTGTTCAGTGGTCTACAAAGTCATCTCAAAGATTATGGTTAGAAGACTAACTACTATTATGCCTGATCTGGTTACTCTAAACCAAACCGCTTTTGTTAAAGGGAGAAGCATCACTGACAACACTTTACTTGCTCAAGAATTAGTTAGAGGCTATAGTAGAAAGAACTTATCTCCTAGATGCTCTCTAAAAATAGACCTCCACAAAGCCTTTGATTCACTTAATTGCAACTTCATTTCTGCCATATTGAAGGCCATTGGTCTTCCAAGGTCTTTTGTCACTTGGATTGAAATTTGTTTTTCAACAGCAAGTTATTTTGTTTCTTTCAATGGGAGCTTGTCTAGTTTCATTAAGGGAGTTAAGGCCTAAGGCGAGGAAACCGTCTATCTCCTTTACTCTTTGTCCTCTCTATGAATGTTCTTTCCAGACTCCTTAACTTGGCAGCATCAAGAGGTATGTTCGGCTACCACCCCAAGTATAAAAGAATAGGTTTGACACACCTATCTTTTGCTGATGATCTCCTTATTTTTTGCAAAGGGACTGTTAAATATGTTATTAGGGTCACTTGTGTCTTAGATTTATTCTATGATATGTCATGCCTCAAACCTAATGCTTCTAAAAGTGAATTATTTGTTGTTAGAATGCATACTATTGCTATTGAGAATATTAAACAAATCAATGGCTTCAATCTTAGCACTCTGTCAGTGAGATACTTAGGCATCCCTCTGATCATTAGAAAAAATTCAAAAAAGGACTATGTGATCCTCATTGAAAACATCAAATCAAGATTGCACCACTGGTCCACTAAAAATCTAAGCTATGCATGAAGGTTGGAACTAATAAAAAATGTGTTGTCAAGTATCACCAATTTTTGGTGTAGGCAACTCTTCATGCCTAATTCTGTTTTGAAGAAGATTGAGCAACTTTATTCCCGTTTCTTTTGGAAAGGGATAGACAAATATGCTACTGGAACAAGAGAGGGCTGGAAAAATATATGCTTCTTGAAATCAGAATGAGGGCTCGAAATTAAGGATATGAAATCCTAGAATAAAGCATGCATGATCTTGTTAATTAAAAACATCCTTGCAGGTGAAGGATCTCTATGGGTTGTTTGGCTTAAAAACTATGTTTTTAAAGAGAAAGATTTATGGTCTATGGGAATAAACTCCACTGCTAGTTGGAGTTTAAAAAGACTACTGAAACTCAGACCTGAGGCTCACCATGTTCTGACTTCATGAGCTTTAAAAGCTAGTACAATCTAGGATTCAATCCGGGAGAAGAAGCCTAAGGTCCCTTGGCAGAAACTATTATGGTTTCCTTTGCATATTCCCAAGCACAGTCTGATAGCTTGGATGGCTTTCCTTGATAGGCTCCCAACAAAGGAAATACTTCAAAGTATGGGGCTTATCAATGACAGCCTATTTGTATTCTGTAATTCTGAACTGGAAACAAAGGAGCACTTATTTTTAAAATATCCTACTGCAGTCTTCATTTGGAAAGAAGTATTCTCACTTTCTGGCTTTCAATTTGTTGCTTGCTCATGGGAAGTTTCATGGCGTGGGCTTATTCTACTTGGAAAGGCAAATACTTGCTAACTATGGTCATGAAGATTGCTCTGAATGCTCTCATTTACATTATTTGGGAATAAAGAAACAAAAGGTTGTTCCAAGGTTGATCTAGGTCTGTTGACGAAATTCTTAAGGCTATTAAGGATATTGTAAGTTTACAACTTAGGGGTAGGAATATTAAAAGAGTCGATAATGTTAATATTACTCTTTGTAGTCATTGGGGTATAATTGATCATTGATTTGTTTTATGTAGATTGTTTTTGTTTCTGAACCCTGATTATATTTTGTAGCAGATTCTGCTCTTTGGATAATAAAAGTTGAATTATCCAAAAAAATAAAGTTTAAAAGTGACTAAAATGAGCATTTTTAATATTTAGTGGTAAACTTACTAAGAATAAAAATAAAAGAAACATGGGACTAAATTAAAATAAACTAAAATCGCATGGCCAAATTAAAATAAATAAAAAGACAAATTCTAATTCGAAATATAATCATGAAGAAACTACATGAGCTATTTCCTAAATATTCCTTTTTTGCTAGCCTAAAACATACATTCGAAATAAAAAAGGGAAAATTACTAAATGAGTCCATAAGCATTTAAAAAAAATTAAACAGTCATTGCATATGACCAAAATGCAAATGCACGCATAAATATGAGGGACTAAACAAAAACAATCCTGAAAATATATAACATGAATAAAAGTGGGTAAATTACAAAAATAGTCCCTATAGGTGACTAACATGTAAAAACACGCTAAAGTTAGGGATACTAAACAAAAATTAAACCAAAAATATATAACATGATAAGAAACAAGTAAATTATAAAATAGGTCCCTATAGGTGACCATTTTGCAAAAACATACATAACTTAAGGGTACCTAAGTGAAATTTCCCCTAAAGTTTTTTATAAATACAACATTTTTTTTAATTTTCTTTATTTTGTTTTTTTAGTTTTAGAGAGAGAATCTCTCGATTCTCTCTAAAAAGTCGGTCATCTCACCGGTTGTTTGGCTCTTGCCACCGTCATTTAGGCCTCCATGCCGTCCCCGTCGTCGGTGGTCCTTGGCCACAAAATTTTACCCGAAAACTTGCCTTGACCCCCTCGTCTCAAATCTGGGGTCTGTTTCTCGTGAAATTGACTCCAACATAGCGAAAATAGTCGAGACCCTTCAGTTTTCTAAGGCTATGACGACCTACGGTGAAGTCCTTACAACTCAGGTAAACGTCGATCCACCATGCTCTCTTTGCTTCTATTTTATTTCATAAATGTTTGGCTTTTTTGTTTTGATTTTTCGATTTTGAAACTAAAAAACAAATAATAAATACCTTGAATGCTTTTATGTCTTTATTGATTTTTTTTGTTTTTTTTCCAAAACCAAGAAAGGGAGACCCTTGTACAATAGTGTTCTCGGGTTTTATAACCCTTTTACAGATTTCTCTTTCTTTCTTGTTTTTTTACAAAACAAAACAAAATAAAAATGATTACTATGGTTTGCATGTGGATTTGATGCTTGTTGCAGAGGTTAGCGTGTCAGGGCTGTCTTACATGTGGTTGGTAGAACCGGCAGTGGCAGCGGATTGGTGGAAACGGCGGTGGCAGATCTCATTGGCTTGATGAGCAGCGGCGGGTGGCTAAGGGAGAAAACTTAATAGGTTTGGGCTTTAATTTGGGTTAGGAATACTTGTAATTGGGTCGGGTCATATTGGTGGCCCGATTAGGCCTGTTGTAATTGGGCTCATGGTTTGCTTTGCAAAGCCTGAAAAGAAAGAAAGAAAATGTAATGATAATTATAATTAATAATAATAATAATAATAATATTAAAAATGGGACGAAAAACGAGTGTCGACAATTATCACTTGAACCAATAACACTATTAAAACTTTAATACTTTGATTGCATGATTTTTCATCAAAAATTGATCTTATTGTAGATGCTCGGTTTCGTCCGGGGACTTCGTTTGATTTTTATATCCACTACGAGTTACAGTGTGGATCAGTGAGAGCCCAAATGAGTCCAAACCAGTTGGAGGCCCATCTCAAGCCCAATAGACAGCAGTTGCATGCAGAAAAAAAAGAGATTGACGTTGGTTTTTAGCAGTTAAAATAATCAGATAGTGGGGGATTAACTACTGAAAACTAAATGAGGGAATTAACCACGGGAATCTATCAACTACGGAGGGGGAACACATAACAGAAGAGAGAGAAACACACAAAAAAAAGAAGGGGGAGAGATCTCAATTATTGGCCATCAGGAGAACAAAAAGAAAAGAGAGAACATAGATCATTTTTTTATTTACACACTAGAACAAATAGAAAAATAGAAGCTCTGTAAACAACGTTCAGGGATTCAGAGATCAAGCAGTGTAACAAAATCGTTTTTCAGGAAAGCATTAGAACTGCAAGTATTTTTGAGGTACTCATCTGGGATTTGTCTTTGTTTCCAATTTCTTTTGTGTATATTTATGTCATTTGGAGAAACTAAATGGGATCAGCTTTAGGTTTGGATTTTATACTGTAATAATTAGACTTAAAAAAATTATTAAGGTTCCTATAAAATTCATAACACTAATTTGTAATGGAATCCCTTCCACGTTCTTTTCATCAAAGCAATACTAATCATTTCTCCATTCTTTGTTCACATCTATATTTCGACAGAACCAAGCAACAAATATAAACAGAACCAACTCTTTCCCATTTTTACTTCTCGTGACAGAAATCACATCAAAACAAAAAAAAATTCAAGAGGCATTCATTTTCTACTTTCGTTTTATAGAGTTTCCAAAGGTATATGTCTTTGATTGGAAGTAAAATAATGAAAAGGGAAAGTGGTAGTGTTACCTTAGTCGTTGAGTCGCATCGCCGGAGAGGGAAGATGCCTAAGAGAGAGAGTGAGGTCGAGAGGTCAAGACCCTTCTTTGAATCTGTTTTTAAATTTTTAAACACGATTTAACCCAAGATTGAAGACTAGCAAGGCGATGTGAGGGTTGCGCGAGATGAGTGGAGAGGCTTGAACAGCGGCGATGGATGCTTGGATGAGGCTTTAATCATGCGTGGAAGGAGATGGGAAGAAAGAGAGAAGGGCTGAACGGCTGAGTCCTTTAGTTTTGCTAAATTAGTTTAGGTTTTTTAGTTAGGTTATATATTAAATATTTCGGTTAAATTAGAATATAGTCACTATAACTCTAGGAGTAAATTAGCTTTTGATCCTCCTAGGTTTAGTGCATGTTTATAATTTAGTCACATGTAGGACTTGATTTTGATTTCTTTTTTTTAATTGGACCCGATATAGTTATTTTCATATTTCAGTTTTAGTTGTAATTTTCATGAGTTATTTAGGTTTAAGTCCCTTACATTTATGCTTATTTTTATTTAAGTCATTGTTTTAATTTTTAATTAGTATATTTAATTTTACGTATTTAAATTTAGTCATTATTTTAACATATGCATAATTTTTAATTTTTAATTAAAATATACGTATCTAATTTTTTGTATGTCACGTTGTATGATATTTTTAATTTTGATTAATTAAATTTTGCATGAAATCCTTTTTTGCACGATTCGCATGGTAACCTCATTTGCATAACTCGACATATTACATAATTGAACTAAGGGTAATACACTTTTAATTTAAAATTGTTTTTAAGCAGGTTGTCATAACGCATTTGAGGTCCGCTTTTAATGATTTTAAAATAAAAGTGTATCCCGAAAGTGAAACCTAAAAAAATCGATTCTTCACCTAAAATTTTGAAATGGAAGAAAATGAAATGTTCAGTTATTTAAATTTATCGAGAAAAGGTTGTTATAGCTTTTAAGATATGGTCTCGATATTTGTAAATAATCGAACATTCTTTATCTTTCTAAAACGACTTGGTAATTTTAATTTAATTTATTTGGGTGCATTTGAATATTATAATGAAATTTTAATATTATATTATTTTGATTTGAGTAGGAATTAATTTTCTCAAGTACTGATAAATTATTCCTTTTCGATATGAAATAATTTAATATTACTACATTTCATTGTAAAATTCAAATTTTTTCGGGATCATAAATCAAATCAAGTTCGAATTTGTCAAGTTTAATGCAAAGACGTTAATTAATCGACTATGTACCAATTTAGGGCGTTGTGGGGTGCTAATCCTTCCCCACACGTAACCGACTCCCGAACTCAATTTTTGGTAATGCATGCCTCAATTTGTTGTTTTAATTAAAATTAATTTTTATTTAAAATCACAAAACGTTTTTGGGTGCCCAATCACACCCTAATCAAAGATTGGTGGCGACTCTTCGAACCGTATTTTTTATCATAAAGGAACTCTAAAATTTTTCGAAACGAGAGGTTTTTTAAATTGTATTTTTTTTAATTTAAAAATCAATTGAAAGAGATAAATTAAAAATATGTGGTTTTCAAAATCTCATCTTTTCACTTTTTAAGGAAAATCGTTTCGACAGCTTGGCGACTCTGTTGGGGACTTTTTTTAGAGAGTCAGGCCTATAGTCGATTAATTAATTGTCTTTGCAATTGAAAGTTATAAATTCGTTTTAATTTGGTTTTTGATCCCTTGTTTGGTTTTTAATAAGTTTTCTTTGTATTTTGATTTTTTAAAAAAAAATTAATTAGATTAACAATTAAATAGTTGTATTGATCTGTTTGCTAATGATTTCAGAATAATTGTGTGTTTTGGTAATTGATTTTGAATGTTTTGTGTGTTTTTTTGCTTTTCCTCACACTGCGCAGCTGTATTTTTCATGACATGAGCTAAAACCCCGCTCCATCCAAATTAAGTAGGAGTTAGAGACTATGCCCTCGTGTGGTTTTCACCTCCGCATGGGATAGTGGATCGCTCCTGGAGCTCACGCCTTATGATCCTCGTGATGTTATTCACCTCCGCATGGACATAAGGAGGTGTGTTACCTCGAAATTGAACTCGATCCCCTAAGTTATTTTTTGAATAAGCATGCGAATTAGATATCATGCGGTTAGGATTTCTTTTTCTGAATAACAAAGCATGGGGTAGATATCATGTTGGGTAGGATCTTATAAAGCATGATTGGGTAGCCAACATGTGGGTAGGATTCTTTAACAAATTATTATCCCGACTTAATTGCTTTATGTTTACTAACCGATCTTTTGTTGTCTTTGCCTTGTTTCTTTTCTGTTTTGCATTGCACTATCCATTACATGGTATTGAATTGGGATCGATGTCCATATAGAAGGCCAGTAATATGGAATGAATGGTTCAGAAAGAGGTTGAGGATAATGCAGATGTTCTGAGGTGGTCGGAACAATCCCAATTGACTAATGGGGACAGTGTGATGCCTGGATATGTGTCGGAGTTATTTGGTTACACTCACATCAATGTACGTCAGAATTATCTGAGTGAGCTAAGAGAGGTATGGGGAAGATGGGAAGCAGCTGATAAGGAGATGTTTTATCAGTTATACGGCAATATTCCTTATCTTCTGGATGTTCCTATTGACCGAAATTTGTTTAGAGCATTGGCGCAGTTCTGGAATCCGGCTTATAGCTGTTTCACATTTGGTAGAGTGGATCTGACACCAACAATAGAGGAGTATCAAGCTTTGGTCCGTTGTCCGAGGTCCCAAATAGATAAAATATATACCAAGCTGCCAGTCACTCCTTCATTTAAGAAGAAATTACTATTGATGACCGGAATGAGTGAAGATTGGGTAGTTAGAAACATTAAGAAGAAGGGAGACAGTGAGTGCATCTCTTGGGTTGCTTTGAAAGAAGTAATTGCTCATCACCCTAATAAGAGAAAGAAGCTTGACTTGTTTGCTTTAGGGATTTATGGGCTCGTTATTTTTCCAAAGGTTCTAGGATATGTAGACGTATCAGTAATTGACCTATTTGAAAGATTAGACAAGCGCGTGGATCCTGTTCCAGCCATTCTAGCTGAGACGTTCCAGTCTTTGAGTTCTTGTAGGCGCGAGGGAGAAAGACGCTTTATAGGGTGTGCGCCATTGTTGCTAGTGTGGATTCTAAGTCATTTCAAACATGTTGAAAGGGCACCAGGACGAGTGTTTCTAGATGGGTTTTCTCCTTTGAAGGATTTTCTTTCTAAAGAATGGCCTGGGGGTTTCACCGAAGAAAAATGGATGGTCATCTTCAAGGATATCAGAGATGGTGATATTTTATGGTGAGCTTCGTGGAATGTCTCTTCGGATATACTTTACGATGTGGAGAGCGAGATTGGGTTCTTTTTCCAGGTATATAGGGTTTTGTTCGGTATGCACCGCTACTAGTTTCCAGATAGTATGGGTCAAGGCAGTTCATTCCAGCCACATGAGACTTGGTAGGGAAGAATTTTGCATTCAAAGGAGATCAGTATAAGGGTAAAGTTAAAGGGGTTGCTGAGGCCTGGAAGCAAACCTGTCGTGTGAATCTATTCACTTATCATCTCGAGTTATCTCAAGAGTACGAGCAGTGGAGAAGCGGTCGAGTAAATGATAACATCCCGATGGTGAATCCTGAAAACATTCAACCTGTGGAAGAACAGTTGAGAATGGTGCCATCTCCATTAGAGTTAGCTAAGCGCGATTTCGAAGCAGAATGGAGACAATGGAGAATGACTTTGCAGAAGCTAGAAGATG